CTCAACCTCCCCAACTAGTATGTACACAGCATATGCCAACCTCCTCTCCTGAGAACACCCCAACATTGTGAAGATCTTCTCTAGTTCACAGATCCAGTGGTCAGCTACCTCTGGGTCTGCATCTCCATTGAACTGTGGAGGATGGCATTTCCGGAACTCAGCTAGATCCTGGCTCTCCTGTGACCCCGTGGGCCTTGTTGCACTAGTTGCAGCTCTATTAGCCTCTACCCTAGCAAAATAAGCATTTTTTGCTGCATAGCCATAGCCATCATCTCCTTGGCACGGGCTATCTGCTCATTGGTTCTAGACATTGTCTACAAAAGTAACAACATCTTTAGTATACAATAACTAAACCAAACAACAATCAACAGCACAGCAAAACATCACAGCAATCAGCACAACAAACAACACAGCAAGACAGCACAACACAAAGCTCAGCACAACAAAAGCCTAAAGGAACCACCCCAACAGAGTGTCCACTAGACTCGAACTGCTCTGATACCACTAAAGTGTAACGACTCGACTGGTCTCTACACACGGTACGACACACCATAAACACCATGCAGAAAGGAACAAGTGTATACATATAGTGTCTAGAATATATATATATATATATATACAAGATCCAAGTTTGAATAGAGTTAAAGTGTACAAAATACATCAAATACACTACTACACCGAGTAGCTAAAACAAAAAAACACCAAAAGAAATCAGCCCTATCTGCTATCTGCAGTCCTGCCACTAGCCACCAACTTATCCCTGCTCTGCTCCCATACATAGTATGATCATTGCAGTCCAAACACCATGGAAACAACAAAGGGTAAGCTAGTGAAAAGAAATCAACATACATATATAACAATATGAATGTAAACAACTACAGCTATCAGCACATCAACCAGCTTATACTACACCACAACATTCAGCAATTATCAGCACCGCAAAGCGGCAATATCAACAGTGCATAGCAACAATTACAACACCATTCTAGTGGCTATAACAGCACCGCTTAGCGGCAATAACAGCACCGACTTAACGGCAATAACAGCACTGACTTAGCAGCAATAACAGCACCACCATAGTGGCTATAACCAACATACAGCTCAGCAATATACAGCACAACCAATCAGCTCACAACCCAGCTAACATAGCTCACCACATAGCACAACAAATCAGCATACAACACTGCTAAGTAGTATTCAACACAGCTTACTACTCACAACTCAACTAAACATTCTATAGTACAACAATATTATAACTCAGCATTAGAATCATCAATAACAGCTCAGCTCAGCACGACAATATACATCTATTACAGCTTAACATCATTTTTTAGCATTAGCATCTAGTCAGCACAGCATATTCATCAAATTACAGCTTAGTTCAACATAAAACAACATCTATCAACAATTTCAGCATAATTCAACAGCTATCAGCATATAAGTCAACACCATCATACGCGCTCGGTGCACTCATGGTCGAGCCCAACGCAGCTCAACCAGAGAGCATCAGGGGCCAGTGTGCCCGGCGCAAGAGTGCTCGCGCCCGGCGTGACTCAGCCTGAGAGCCCAAGGCTCTTACGCGCCTGGCGCAATACAAAATAGCGCCCAGCGCATGCCCAGGTAGAGACTCCAAGGAGTCTCACGCGCCCGGCGTGCCTAAACCCGTGCCCGGCGCGGGGAAGGCAGAGACCTCCCAAGGTCTCATGCCCAGTGCAATTCGAATTGCGCCCAACGCTCCCATGGCAGAGACTCCCAAGGAGTCTCCACGCCCAGCGCGACAGAATAGCGCCCAGCGCAGCACCTGAAAACCCAAATCATGGCACAACTGATATCGCGCCCAGCACAGTCCAAGTCACGCCCGGCGTGGGTCATCCAGAGGCTCACCTTCTCAAGCTCGCCCGGCGCACACATCTTTGCGCCCGACGGGCTTGCCTAAAAAGAGCCTCCAGGTGGTCTCGCGCCCGGCGCGAAGTTCAGCAGCAACCCTCAACTTTCGAAAAACTTTACCAAATCCTACAAAATCCACCAGAAAACCAACATGCAATGCATCCAAAAGTTTACATTTTCATCCAAGAGTTCAAAAAAAATAGTCTTTTCACACATGCAATCATCAAACAAGAAAAACCCAAAATTTTCCTCCAACACCCCGAAACCCCGAAAACATATTTTCACCAAATCAGCCATCAATCTCAGCCAAAACCATTCAACATCAAACCATCCATGAGTTGATAAAATCATTTCCATCCAGCCATCAAGAAACTAGCTTCCCTTACCTCGGTTAAACGGCTCCGAGCTCCGGGAAGAGACAAAGAAGAAGAAGAAGAAGAGAGCTTGAAACGAGCGGAGAAGAGAGACCACTTCAGCTAGCTCCGAAACACCTACTCAGCACCTTCAACGCAAGAGATCACCACAAGGAAAGATTAAGGAAAAGGGAAGAATGGAGTCAAAGAGAGTGAAGAAGAGAGTGAATGAAAGTGAGGGGAGTAAAGAGAGAGGGAAGGGTTTCACATCACTAAGTTTTTAGGTCACAAGATTTTTTTTAGTAAGATTTTAACAAGACACATTTTAATATAATGGACATCCAAAGGGAGATTGAATAATAATTGGTGACTTAATTAATGGATGCCTATATTTATTATATATTATTAAAATTTATATTCTTATTATATATTATTCTCTTCTCATACAATTATTTAGTCTATATCTACCTATAAATAGGTCAACCTCTTTCGAAAATAATACATTAGCTAGATTGTGTTTCTCTCGATCATATTATTTTATTCGTTCTCTCTATTATATTATCTTTTTTTCATAACATAACTTAATTTTATATGATATTTTTACTAATAATTAAGGATAAAAATAAATAAGTTTTATGTGACAAATTCAATAATAAATAACGATATTTGAGGATATTTGAGCATAATGATTAAAATAATTTTTTTCAAATTTCAAAAATTAAAAATATAGATATTAAAAATTTAAGAGATAAAATATATATTTATCTTATATTTTAGAAAATAAAAACATATTAATTTATACCTTAAAAATAATAAAAAGAAAGTAACTTTGACCAGAGCGCTTACTAATTATGAAAGCTTGATTTATGGCATATTATAATTAGAATATTGATCAAATCACACTATAATTTGCGGTTATCAACATTTTTTTTAAAAAAAATAATATTGTTTTCATAATGATTGTACAATTTGCACATCGTATATTATAACGAGAATCATGCTTAACAATATTCTAAATAAAGACAATTTTTATAGATCAAAACAATTTGGATTTTCTACCAAAAGTGTTCGGGTTATATTATATTGACCAAAATATCTTTGAATAGGTCGTATTAAAAAAAAAAATCTACATAACTATTGTAATATATTTGTTTTTTATCTTTAGTTTCTTATAATTTTCAAAAGAAAAGGAAATATTATTAACTATTTTTTCTGTGATACAAAATAGTATTAACTATATTAAGAATGCAAAGGGAAAAAACGAGGAAATATATATAAAAGATTTTGTTCACGAGTGTTTTAACTTTTGAGATGACTCCCTCCAACTTGAAATAATCAATCATCTTTCTGAATAAACTAGTTTTTAATTCCTGTATATGTGTAATAAATGAATAAGCTATAGTACATTTAATGATGATTCTATTAAAATCTTAATACATGATAAGCCGTTCTTTTTTCTTTTTGTTTTTTGATACTCAGATCTTTTTCTTTCTTTCTTTCATTAATGAAGAAGTCAAAACATACTATGATACGAATTTCTCTTAATTTATAATCACATGCATGGTCGAGTTTAATTGTTTATTAAGTTTATATAATATTTATGAATTTATTTTGTAATATTTTCAATCTCTGTAATATATATAAAAATAGACATATCGTGCGTGACCAGATAGTTGATATATATATATTAAGTTAAGCAGTGAATCATAATAAGTCAAATATATATATATATATATT